ACTGGGCTTATCACGTTTTTGACAACACTCGCCATTCGTTGGAAATAGGAAAGCTTAGCGGTTGAAAGAGTTTCGGGGGTAATAACAGACGCAGAGTGAAATGTCCTCACATCCTAGTACATACCTTAAGCAGCTTTTGGGACTTTTACTTTTTGTCGAAACTCGAGAGTTTAGCGGTCGATCAATTTCGCGCTTATGTGGCTAAGGGATAGCAACATGTGGCATCACTACTTGGCCCGCAGTTTCTTTGCCAAGGTGGATGTGACCATATACGGACTCCTAAAGCCCTTGTCGGACACGACCTGAACTTATCTCCCACTACTATTGTTACCTTACTTGCTGGGGGCAATTCTCCAGTGTGCTACAACTATGCTGCGAATTTTTGGGGCTATCTTATCAAGCTGTTATCACGTCTTAAGGCGAGAGCCAATCCAATATGTTACCATCTTGCCCACTATCTTACTCCTTGGAACCGAAGTCCTAGCGTCGCTGTGAAGCACGTTATCAAGTTGATGACCCTTCGCTTCTAAGACTCCTTATGGTATCTTATCATCTGTTATCACTTCCGCCACCGCACGCACTGATGTTCCCATCCCGCCGGCTACCTTACAGCCGATTTCTATTCACTTTCAACTATGTCAAGTTGTCTTATCGTGGCAATTGTAAACGTTGCAGGATGGAGGTAGTGGAAACCATACAAAATCTAAACGAGTACTGGGGACCTCCGTCACTGAACTGGTTCGACTATTTTGTTGATGCTCAAAAATTGTCAAAGTTACTCTCGGAGCCGGGAAATCGAGGTATGCTTATTTATCACCTTCTGGTATCCTCTAGAACCTTTTCCAATGTTTTCTTCTGCTCTCTAATGACATACTACTCTTCGCAGAGACGGTGGGTAATCTGGCACTTCAATTTGCGGAACAGGCCGCAGGTACACAGAAGGAAGCTGAAATAATGATAAGCAAAGCCTTTCCAAACGGTTAGTAATAGCTTTTCTGCAATGTGCTTTTGCATAGTAATAGTCTCTCTTTTTGTAGAAGATATCCAGTTTACGCATCGAAAAGCTGCTTGCCTTATTTTATGTGCTATGGCTTGCTTTGCCTATATTGACTGGGACCTCGAGTATCTCATAGACAAGTAGTAAGTACTCATTTCAGACATTATTTCAATTATGATCCTCAACAATTCTGATGTTACTGATCATTTATTTAAGCAATGAAATACTTTCCGTGCGAGTACTGGTGGAAAATTTTCTTGGTCTTTGTCGTGCATCCGAAAATCCATCAGATCTATTGGTAAGAAAAGTCATTGTTTTTATTTCTTCTTTTCTCTTTGCTCCTTCGCTTTTTTGCCTTTCTTCAGCTTCGTCCTTCGCTTTTCATCCGTGTTCAGAAATTCTTGGAGAGTCGCGTCTTTGTGCACTGTTGAAAATCACCTTTTATTTATAACCGTTCTTTTTAACTTACGCGCTTCTCTGATTAAATTTCATTTTATTTGTATTACAGTCCTTTTAGCTACGCATGGTGGGAACATGTCAGAGGGGTAGTTTGGCGCAGCGCTAGCCCGTTTTCCATCAGTTGTTGAAAAGCGTGATCGACAACAATTGATAGAAAAGGGCGGCGTACCATCAAACCCAGCCCCCCCCCCCCCCCCACGCCCTCAGCATCCGCAGCGAGCGAGACTATGACTTGGGGAGTTGGCGATTGGTGTAGTGACAAGCAACGCCACTCAAGGTCTAAATTCAAACTGCAGATTGAGTCCCCTGCTGGTCAAACAAGCCTTTCATCTTTCGGGTGTTGATACACTCGGGGCTAATTTTGTCTGGTAGGTAAAAAACAGCAATTTGCAAGTCAGCTGGCTTTACATATGATTTTGTGTGCTCGATGACATTCAAAACGCCACCACAACTCCGAATGGAAGTAGTAAGCCTGGCGCGACCCAGAAGGGATGGGACGAATCAAACACTTTCCTTTTCATGTGGTTGACGATGTAACTCCTTTTT